CATGTGGCTTTCACTGCGAGAAAAACACCACCTCCCCCTGGGTGCCTTCAGAACACAGATTCATTGAGAAATCTGGTTTTTCTTCCAGGCGGGGCATGGGGACTATTTTTCAAGGGAAAGCACATGCATAATTGCTGGAGAAATATACACGTTTAATTTCCTTTAAGCCCTTGAAGCTTTCTTCCTTAAATAAATCATCCTGCATGGTCCTGTGACCTGAGACCTGGAAGTGGTTTTTGTCCTGGCCCCAAGCCATGGCCTCCAGAGAGAGGGACACCGTCCCATTTGACATCCACATGAACACACACGATGCTGCCTTGTTCTTACCCAAATGGGCAGACAAGATGGAGCTGCTCGAGTCTGTGACATGTAAGGCCTTTTCAAGAGCTGAGCAGGTAGCTGACAACCTGCCTGCCTCATAAATTAAAAAGCACAGGAAATAACTACTAGTATGTTGAGAGAGATAAGAAGGCCCACAAGCTTGGGCGAAGAGATGTTGTGCAAGCCTTTGAGAAGTCCATTGTTGGAGTTGACAAGGACAGTCGGAATTGTCTTTGACAACCTCTCAGTTTACAGGTCACAGGGGTTCACAGAGGAAAATCCTGTTGCCAGTGTTTTCCCAAGGACTGCTTGTCTAAGATCGCCTGGGGAACTGGTCACACATGCCACTCCTGGCCCAATCGCAGACTCTGAGTCTCTGGTGATTCCCTCAGGAACTAGGGATTTAATCAGCTTCCCATGTGTTTCTAAAGAGCCCTAAATTTTGCCAACCTGTGTTAAGTGCCCTGAGCTTTTTGCTTAGACACAGGCTGGGTCCAACCTTCTCACAGGCCTCAGCTGCTCTTTCATTTGCCTCTGCTTGTCTCTCCAAGTACCGTCAGTTCACCTAGGCTTTCTCGCCCCCAGGCCACTTTTCTCCCCCTAAGGGCTCTTCCCGGCCCCTCCCAGCCTCCCCATCGAAGGCCCTTGGCATCCCAAGCTGCCAACTTTAGGAGATGGAAACAGCACACTTCCAGCTGGACAGGACCCCAGAGAGGATCTAATGCTGCCTCCTCCTCCCCTGTCCCCATCCATGCATGTTCCTTCCTCTCTTTCCCCTTGTGTATTAAGTGATGACATTACTTATGGAAGCAATAGCACCTGCTGTTTCCGGAAGCCGGAAGCACTATGTGGCCTCAAGAGGGGTTTGTAAGATGATAAAGGCTTTTGAACTGGGGACTTGTTCAAGGCATATTATAAATTGAGTCTTGGGATTATTTAACAAGAAATAACCATTTTGCCACATGTTTCTGTAGCCTTATGGTCTGTATGGTCTAGAGCAGTGATTTCCAACATTCTTCATCTCATGGCACATATAAACTAATTACTAAAAAAAAAAAATAGGTATAATTTTGTTTCATTCACAATGGATGGTGATTGTTGGATTGACTGTTGTCTTTTTTTTCTTTTCTTTTCTTTTTTCTTTTTTTTTTTTTTTTTTTTTTTTTTACAAATCTAAAGGGAAAAGAGGTCAGTGCCCCTGACTAAATAGCCAGGTACTACATGTTTTAAAAATTCTTATGGAATACCAGTGTGCCATGGCATATAGATTGAAAATCACCGGTTTAGAACCTTGCTAAATTCATGCAGTGGAGTTTTTGTTGTTATAATCTGCTCCCTCTACCCACTCATTACCAGCCATCAGCCATTAATTTTAAGTGTAGGTCATTCTGAAATTCCTTTGTGGGTGAATTTAGAAGGCCTGTCTAGCCTTACAGGAAGCAGAGAAGGGGTATGGAAGCACATTGCCATGGTCAACCTGGGCCACATTCCTGCTTCACTTCTTACAGCTGTCAGACCTGGAGAATCTTCCTACTCCTGCCTGGAGCTTCAGTTTTCTCATCTGAAAAGGGACAGCTGATGAACTGAAAAATTTCTACACCTAGTTCCTGTGCTCTAACACTCTTCCTGGTAGTGAGAGGACTCGTGTGGAAAGAACTGAAAGTCCTTGTAGAGAAAAGAGTCATTTCTGAGTCACTATCATTGAAATGATAACATCACAAATAAGCACTTGGCATGCACACAGTCATGGTGGCCACCTTAAGAGGGATAGAAACCAGATTACCTGAGTTAGACCAGATAGCATCCAAGGTTCTTCCCATTCTTATGATACTGTAATAAAAATTGGACTTGACATTCAAGGCCCTTCATAATCACAATCAAACCTGTCTTACAGGCTCAGCTAACATTATTCCCCCTAACCCATAATTCTCTCAAGCCATGTTCCATGAATTTCATGCTTCCTCCTGCCACCAGACTTCTGATTCTTGTACTTTCCATGCTTCTTTCCTCTTCCCAATATTAAATTCCACTCCGCCTTGCTTTCGCAGCTGTAGTCCACCCCTCCAGCCTTCCATCTGCACTTCCCATAGGCTGTTAACATTTAACTATCTGTGCTCTAGGTACATGGGAACACAGCTTACCAGGCTGGAGACTCTTTGAGGACAGATACTAGATCTCAAGTTTTCTCAGACAGTATCCAGAACCTGGCACATGGAAGTTGTTCATGAATGATTATTGAATTGGGCCAAGGAATTCCAAGGATTAATTCAAATATGCTATGTCTTTAGTTTTAGTATTTTTCTTACTTAAGGTGTGTTGGCAACAAGGATCCGGTACTCTCTCAAACAGTTTCAAATGAGTAGACGGGTTACTAAAAGGATACAGGAGACTGTCATGGATCTCCAAGGACAGAGGGAACAGAAAAGTCTCTCTCTGTCCTTCACTGGCTACAGATGATCTTGCCTCTAACTCTTTCTGCATGTTAATTCCATTCTCCTCTTGGCAGGCTGAACCTCTCTGCAAGACTCTTATTTTTCACTCTTCCATAATCGAGGCTTGACTATGGCTCCTGTTTTGTTATACATAGTCCCACTTCCTGTTCTTGATGTCTGGAAACCCCTCAGTTCAGGCATACTCCTAACTGGAGTGCAAATTCACCAAGGAAGAAGCTGATTAGCTTGGCCCAGACTGAAGCCCAATGTCATGTGTCCATACCTGGGTGAATCAGCTGATGAGGGTCAGAGGTACATAATACTAATATGACTTCCCAGGCCCCACCCTTTCAGCATGAAAGGAATTCTGAGGAGGGTTGCATTGCTTCCCAGTAGCTGGCTATTGGTTGGATTATCATTCCTAAATACAACTATGTTTACAAAAAGCAGCGAAGGATACAGACACCACGCTATGGATCTACAATTTGGATTTACAAGTCAAAGTGTTGGCTCTTTCCTACTTGGATGCTGCCCAACGTGGGTCTCTGGGGTCTATGGGAGCTAAGGGCTGCTTGCAGGCTAGCTCAATCTCTCTTAGAACCTTCCGCTTGTATTTGTATTTCCTTCCAGGAGCTAAAGCCCAACAAGTTGGATATTTCTATATAACCAGCAGAGGTGATTCTGGGGTTGACAGGTTGAGGAACTAGGGAAAAAAGAAGAGTGGCGATGAAGGGTGTGGACCCAAGGAGCCAGGTGCATGCACACTATGTCATGGAGAAGACATTGTAAGAGGGAACTGGTGGTCAGTTAGAGCAGCCTCAGGCCGGTGTCTCAGGTTGATGCTTGGGCACTGTTTTTGCCTGCCTTCTGGGTCATTCCTTTCAGCCCAAGACATATTGTGGTATGTATCTCTTAATATAATCTCCCATTGACCCCCTTTCACTCCTCCCCAACTACTACCCCAGTTTTCTATTTAACTGACGGTGATTTCCAAATTCACACTCCTCTGGGAGAACTGCCTAAAGAACATGAGGATCAGTTCATTGCTGCTGAGATTTGGTGAGACTAGTGCTTTACAGGAACTTCTGGGACCTTCACATTAACTAATCACTGCATCTGCCAGTATTGTCCTTATTGGTTTAAACATTGAAAGACGGATGTCTTATAGCCCAAAAGAGGAAGCCTGTAGTGGCCTGCTTCCTGGTCATAGCTCCCTCTCACTGTATTCTCTTCCCTTTCTTCTCTCCATCTTCAGGAGCCTCCGGCCAACCCTTGGAGACCCTATTTAAAAGTCTCCTCTTCTACAAAATCTTCCCTGACTTTACAGCCAGAACAAACCTCTCCCTCCTCTGGACTCCAATATCCCCCTGTTCCTCTCATGAAGGCAGCGCTTACCCCTGACAACCTTGGATGCTCCACATCTCTTTCATCTTCAGGACACTTGACACCCACTGACCTCTGAGGGTTTGTTCAAGAGAACTTGCGTTCTTTCTTCCCATTTACTTTTTAAGCAAGACTCAATTTCCCTTAAGTTTTGTATGTTCATCTCAAAAACGGGGGCAGAAATGATCTCTACTCAAATCCAATACGACCAGCGATGGTGAAAGCTTGCAAACCCCATAGAACTGTGGGAGTGTGTGGGATTTTCCTCGATGCCTCCCTCATTGTTCTCAGGGACGGACTACTGACCTGGCCCATCATTAAGTCCATGCATGTTTATGTTTCAAGGGTCTGATTACATTGTGAGTTGGCTTTGACCCCGCATACTGATGACAGATGCACCCTCCCTCGTTTGTGTGGGTACCTCCTCAGTCCAGGGCGATAACCTCACAACCGCACCTGTCATTTCACAAGAGATGCCTCAAAAATGTAAAAGGAAGGACAGAATTAGAGCCATTTTCTTAGGCTTCCTGTAGGGTGTGTCTTAGTACCCACCCACATGGCAATGGTATGTGAAGCAATTTCCTTTCCCAAGCCCTTCATTCATTCATTCATTCACCAGTCCTCACTCACTCACTACTTCAGTGCCCTCCTGCATGTAAACCAGCAGGGATCACAGCAGGGGGTCAGGGCTCTGACAGGTTTTGCAAAGATGTTCAGAGGAGTGCAGAGGAGGAATGCCTATGCCAGCCTCTAGGGAGAAGCTTCCCGTGGAAGGTGGCCCCTGAGCTGAGTCTCAAAGGAAAGGATTGATCACACGCCCTCAAGGAGTTTGGGGAAGGTTCTCCTTGCAGCAAGAACAAACAGCTTGTGCAAAACCTAGAGGAGAGCGAGAACATGGCATGCTCAGGAAAGAACACGTTGTTCACAGCGGCTGGAGTGTGGAGCTTAAGGAGCGGATGGGTAGAGATAAAACCAAAGCAGGAGGCAGGAGCCAGGAGCCAGACCAGGAGGAGTCTCCAGAGCCATGGCTTAGGGCCTGCTCCCAAGGATGCCTAAAATTCCACTGGCAAAACTTGCTGGAGGTGATGCAGGTTAGTAACCTATGCGAGAACCCATCTCCGGGCTCCTAGTCCAGTGCTCACTTGCTCCTTCACTATTCATTAGGTGCCCCTGGCCAGGCTGCCTCTGGCCACACACTAGCCGGAGCCTTGCCAGGGCGCTGAGTGCAGGAGTCCCAGGCTGAGCCAGGCCTGGGAAGGTGTCTGAAGCTCAGATGGGTTCTGTGGCAGCTGACAGGGCATCTGAGCTGGGACCAAAGATCCTCCCGCCCCCGGAGGCAGCAGCCCACATAGCTTCCCAAGGCATCCGGCCCTTCCCTTCCGTGGTTAATCTTCACTTTTCATAAAGATGTGTTCCTTAGGGCACCGGGAGCAGAGCACTGCCTGATGGGGACCACATGCCTCACCCACAGTGGGCGCTTTGGTTCCTGCCAGGCGGGGCTGCAAACATCTTGCCTTCCCTGAGCCAGCTGCCTTCTTAGAGGGGCATCACGTGCCGGGAGCCCCCCTCCCCCTGCTACCTAAAAGGCTCACCGGTTGGGGTGAGGAGGGGGCTGGCGGGGGTCCCCTTCCCAGAGGGGCGATGCTGGAGAGCGCCGCCAGAGCCCCCACCCCGGCGGGGCAGGCACAGGCCAGCTTCCAGCAAGGATCCGCGGGCCACACAAAGGAAATGGCAAGATGGTGAGTCACCCAGAGGCTCGCCTGCTGCCTGGGCTGCTGGCCCACAACAGGACGTTTGTGCTGCGCTCCCGGGGGACCGGGAGGAGGGTGCAGGGAGGCAGACATTGTGGGGCGCTGAGTAATGCTGGGGGGCATCTCCGCAGGAAGCAGGGCCGACTTCTGGAGCCTGCCACTGCAAAGCCACCAAGCAGGGACTCAGGCAAGGCTAACAGAGTGCCCCCCCTGCCGCCATCTGGTCACACAGCTTTTCCCCTGTGCGGTACAGCCTATGTTCCAGAGGATGGTATGCTTCACAGTGGTGTGAGGGTTTCAGGCCTGGGGGCATGTCCATCCAACTCACTCTTCCTACCACCATCCCTGACCCAGCACTGAGAAGGTGCTGAGAGTCTGTGGGATGGAGGGAGGGATGGGTGGAAGGAATAAGTCATCATACAAATACCACAGCACGTGAAGAGCTAGCCCAAAGCCCTCGCCTCACAGACGGGGACATGAAGTGCAGAGATGGGAATGGCTGGAGCTAGGCCCCACAGGCAGAGGTGGCAGCTTTAGAACTGGGTGCCACGCTGCCCGGCCTAGGGTGCTCCACTGTGTAGCTGCCGTTGTGTGGCTCAGGGAAAACCAGGAGGTCTGATGTGTGGGCAGAGGTCAGGGTGGGGCGAACCCATAGCATGGATAAGATAGTCGTCGAGGACAAGGGCAGGTCCTAGCCCGGACCTTGGGGAGTGAGGGAGAGAAACCAGAGCAGCAGGAGGCAGGGCTCCAGGCTTTAAGGGGATCACAGTTTCTTGGCAGGGGCAGATCACGGGGTTTACATAAGCTGGAAAGAATCAGCATTGTTGAGCACCTCGTGTATGCCAGGACATTCAATGCTTTAACCCTGAGGGAGGTTCATGACCGATAAAGAAGGCATCTGGGAGAGCAGGGGCCTCTGGGACATCAGTGACAGCTCCGTCAGGGTCTCAGAGTCGTGGCCACTGGGTGGGGCCACCGCCTGACAGAATCAGCCTCTGGGTCTGGCAGACCCAGGAACTCAGTGTTGTTGGTGCCCTCGGAGGGGGTCAGCGTCTCAGAAGTAACACAATCAACTCACACTGAGTCGGAGATGGCACCGCCCGACTGGGGTGCGGATGGGTGGAGGTTTTCTCCCTGTGAGAAGGTGAGCAGTACAGGGTAGGAAGGCTGCCTGGGAGCGTGGAAGCAGAAGCAGAGCTTTAGTGCCCAAGCCAGACCCTCTGTTCCCCTGTGGCCCTGCTTCCACGGCGGGTGGCCAGCCACGGGCTGCACATCTGAACCCTGAGGCTGGGCATGCCCAGGGCAGCGAGCGCAGACCTGGCCTTTCTCTGTGGCCTTTTCTTTCAAGCAGGCCATCCTCGCCATGCTCCTCACTGATGGCGATCTTCCTCCAGCCCAAACCCAAACCACAGACTAGCTGAGAGCTCCCGACCAGCTGATCCAGCATCAAGCTGGGCCCCCTGATGAGATTCAGGCAGTCCAGAAGCACTGGGCCTCCTCTCAACAGACCAGGGCTCAAGGCAGGTGCTGTCCATTCACAACAAGAATCATTTCCTACCTCTAGCGTTTCCCAGTTCCTTAACAGAAGCTGATTTTAGTTTAAGAATGAGAGTACTGGACTCCCTCGCACCCCTAAGCCTCCCCCCGCCCCTGCCCCCCCCAAAGTCCCTAAATTATCCACTTTAAAGATGAGGAGTTTAGACGTCTAGTAACTTCCCAAAATCACATGGCTATAAAGTGATGGCACCAAGATTCAAACCTACCCTATCACGTTTGCCTTCCCTTAAGACTATTAATGACAGTGATAATAAAGGTCACCGATTGCAAAGGACGTGCATATGCACACGCGGCACTTTATATATGTTTTTTTCATGTAATCCTCACAGCAACAGCAGGAGATGGTTCTCGTCTGCAGTTTAGAGGGGAGAGTGGAAGTGTGGAGTGGTGAAGGGACTTGCCCAGGCCAAGGCCACACAGCTACCAAGTGCAGGAGTTGGATTTCAAACCAGTTTGTCTCCCTCTCCACCCAAGCTCTTAGCCACCCCAGTCCATGGCGGAGCAAAGCACAATTTCTGCAATCACTCACCCCCACGGTACCCCTGGGTCCTGCCCTGGGCAGAAGTGGCCCTATCTGGGATTACCAAAGTCCAGAGCCTCGCCCTCGGCCTTGTCAGTTGAAGGATTAGGTTTATATCAGCTTCCCAGAGAGGAACAGGTTCAGGCAGGCTGACTTACGATGATGACTCACCCCCAAGGGTCGGAGCCAAGCCTAAGGAGTTGATTCACCTGCGAGGTACACCGACCAGAAGGAGGTTGTGTAAGAGCACTGACTTCGAAGTCAGACGTAGCTGGGTCTGAAACCCCATCCGTCACCTCCTAACTCCAAGACTTTGGACATGTTACCCACCCTCTTTGAATCCCAGCTACGGCCTCACGGAATGGGGAAATGGTGCAACCTTACGCAGGGACTGTGGCTTAAACAGATATTGTGGGTAAAATGTTTAGTGCAGTGGTTACGCTTAGTAGAAGCTCAATAAATGGGAATACTTTTAATTATTATGATTGCTTGAAAACTGGGCTTGGCCACCTGATAAGGTCTCCCTGCCCCTGGCTGGTGGGCAGGTTACATTGTAAAAAACAAATTCCAGCTCAGAAGGCTGGTGGGAGAACCCAGATAAGAAGATAGGGCCTGAGCCCCGAGCCTCTGATAGTGGGATGAGGTGCACCCCCTTCCCTCCCACCCTCGGGGTATTGCTGTTGGAACACCCAGTTCTGACTCGGAGCCTGTCTTATCTTGGACAGAACTGCTCATGACAACCAAGTCTCTTTTCTCCGTACTTCCCTCCCACTGAGAAGCAGGCCTGTTGCCACCTCATCTTCAAGGCCCCTGGTGGGTAAACTTGTCCCCTCTTTGAGGCCCTGATCAAATGCGCCTTCATGTGTGAGGCCTTCCCAGCTCTCCCAGGCAGAGGTGGAGCAACTATAGGCCGATCATACAAAAGGTACCTTGCAAGTGCTGGGACACAACAGTGGAGAACACAGAGGTGGCTCTTCTCATCTGGAGCTTGAAGTCTAATGGGACAATAAACAAAGCAAACTAGAAAACCAAATCGGGGTATCAGGAAGGACCTTTATAAGGAGGTGGCATTTACCCTGAGGCCAGAAAGATGAAACAGAAAAAAGGTTTGCCAAGAGCTGGGAATAAAAGGTTCCTGGCATAAGGAACAGCTTATACTTTCCCAGGAGGGAAAGAATTTGGTGTTTCTCATTGTTCACAAAATCCGGCTGGAGCAGATGGAAAGGGTGGGAGAAATCATAGCAATCAGACACAGGCAGAGAGGCCTTGCTCCTCTGTGTATCCAGCCAGAAATGTGACAGTGAGGATAAGACTTGTTACCATTTATTGAGCATCTACTACGTGCCAGGTGCTGTGTAGGCATTTTCCATAAACTCTCTCATTCAATCCCTCCCACCCCGACTCAGTACACAATATCCATATTCACGCTCTGGTTTTGCTCTATTGTCAGCATTTCCCTGCAGGTTTGTTTCCCTGCACACTCCTCCTCTACCCCCATTAGACTGGAAGCTCCTCTGTAAAACATCTCGAGACCCCAGCACAAGACACTGGAACAGGGAGCTGCAGTATCTGTGGAGTTTTCAGCAAGACTCCTCTTCACCTAGTCTTGAGCAGCTACGATTTGGGGGAGGGGAGAGTCAGGAACAGGCATTCACACAGTCCAGGTAAAGTCTGTAGAAAACACATCAGGCATCTTGTGGTGATGATTTAAGAAAAACCTAGTTACATCAGTAGCATGCTCACAAGTCTTGCTTAGGTCAGCCAGTCCCAGGATACTCCACACAGAGGCTAACCTCACCACTTTGTGTGTTAGTGTCTACCACCAAGGACGGCAGTCCCAGGCCCGCCCCCCACCCCTTGGAGCAGTGTGATCGTCACGGGCCCTATGAGCACACTGCAGCGAGCGGGGATGAGTCCGTTCCCTTCAATGTCGTCATTGAGCACCTGCTCTCTAGGCCAGCCGTGGGCAAACTACGGCCCGCGGGCCGAATCCGGCCCGTTTGAAATGAATAAAACTAAAAAAAAAAAGACCGTACCCTTTTATGTGATGATGTTTACTTTGAATTTATATTAGTTCACACAAACACTCCATCCATGCTTTTGTTCCGGCCCTCTGGTCCAGTTTAAGAACCCATTGTGGCCCTCGAGCCAAAAAGTTTGCCCACCCCTGCTCTAGACCCTGCGGCAGCTGTTCTGTTAGACATAAAAATGAATCCAGTGTCCTCTGCTCTCTTCGTCATCACATTGCAGAACTGTGCAATGA